GGGAAGTTAGAAAACATTTTCAACTGGGGCCTCCCCTGGTGGCGCAGCGGTTGAGCGCTGGGCTGCGAAGCTACCCTCAGGCTCTGCAAGGCCGGTTTGATCCCCGGCTGCCGGTGAGGGTCCCACACAGTGCACAGAACTCTCATACCATGCCTGCTCCTCCCCTCAGCAGTGTATTTAGTCTGTCTGCCTGTTCTGTTCCCTGCTCTGGCTCTGGTGAATTCTCTCACCCTCCCACGCTTCTGACTGTACCCAGTGCTTGTATGAATAAATAAATAAATCTTTAGAAAAAAAAATTAAGAAAACATTTTCAAATGAACCAAAAAAAAAAAAACCTATTAAAATTAATTGGATGCGGGCCTCCCCGGTGGCACAGCGGTTGAGCGCTGGGTTGCGAAGCTGCCCGCGGCCTCTGCAGCGCCGGTTCGATCCCTGGCTGCTCCCCAGCCACCTGAGGAGGGTCCCACATGGCGCACAGACCTCTCCTGCCGCCCGCTGCTCCCCTCAGCAGTGTACTTCGGTCCTTCTGCCTGCTCTGCTCCCTGCTCTGGCTCTGGTGAATTCTCTCATCCTCCCGCGCTTCTGACTGTACCCAGTGCATGTATAACCAAACAAACAAACAAAGAAACAAATAAATAAATAAATAAAGCATGCCTCTATTAAAAAAAAATTAATTGGATGCAATGAAAGAATTATTTAAGGAGAAAGTTCTCAAATCAATTACCTATGGTTCCATTTTAAGAAACTAGTAACAGAAGAAAAAATTAAGCAGAAGAAAGTAAATAATAAAGATAAAAGCTGAAATCAATGAAATAGAAAAGCAATATGGAAAATCATTGAAACCAAAAGGTACTTATTTTGCTAAATAAGAAAACTAGACATGGAAAAGATCTATTATTTGTATGTATTTGGATTATTGTTCATGCCCTCCTGATCCATCAAAGCAATCTATTGATTTAAAGTCAATTTGAAATGTAGTACATATTTTTATCTAAGTATTTAAACAAATGTGTTTTTATTTGCATTTATTGTATTTATAAATACATACTTCATTTATATAAATGTGTGTTTTCACATCTCATGAAGGGAGCAGCACTTACAGTAAGAACATCTTGCATTCTCTTTTCATGTAGATTCCCTTTAACAAATGCTATTTGGAGAAATAGTTCATTCATTTATTCATTAGATGTAATTATGAAAATCTACAATATGGCATATTGTATTCATACAATATGGCAGAGACTGTGGGACATGCTGGGGGACACAGCTGTTAACCAGACAAACAAGGTCCCCTGCCCTGCCTGCTGAGCAGTGTCTAATGTGAAATACAGACAAGTAAATAGGCAATAACCTTGTACAAGCATAAAAGTGTGACCATAGAAAGAACAAGTGCCAAAAGGCCATGGAATGGGTAGTAAACTGGATCTGAAATATTTCTCAAACTATCAGCTAAAAAAAATATTTTGGATGTGATAACTAAGTGACTTAAGTTATGATTCAATATAACATATAATATGAGTTCAATGCTGAAAGAATTCCTTGACTATTATATAGCTAATGTGTACTTCTTATCCTGTTTACACTGTTGATACGCTATTGAAATTTTCATGTCAGAGTATAAATAAGACATATAAATTGCTATTTTAATAATTCTCAGTATTGGGCCTCCCCGATGGCACAGCGGTTGAGCACTGGGCTGCAAAGCTGTCCGCAGCCTCTGCAGCATGGGTTCGATCCCCAGCAGCCGGCGAGGGTCCCACATGGCACACAGACCTCTCCTGCCGCACCCGCTGCTCCCCTCAGCAGTATATTTTGTTAGTCTACCTGTTCTGTTCCCCACTCTGGCTCTGGTGAATTCTCTCACATTCTCGCACTTCTGACTGTACCCAGTGCTTGTATAAATAAATAAATAAATCTTTTAAAAATAAATAAATAAATAATTCTCAGTATTTTGGGGACTTTTGTGAGTACTTAGGAAAGAAAGAACATATAGGTGATTCTAACCTGTTCAGAACTTTTTAAGGATCTCTTTGTTATACCAGAGCATAAGAAATGACAAAACTAAGCCAAGAATCCAGATCCTTAGGCAAAGTTTGAGGAATTCCAGGCTTAGAGAAGTGAGGCAAGATCAAAGAAATGTGAAGATTCCAAAGACTAAGTAGGTTGATGATTCATTCAGAAGTTCAGATATGTTTTTTAATTATGTATTTCCGTTGCTCCACGGATTTCACATTTGGAAATGTATCTTTGGGATAGTATTTCTAAACTTCCAAATTCTAACTGTAAAGTTGTTAACTGGAGTTGGTTATAGTAGAAAACTGAAAACAACCTACATGTCTGAAAAAGCAGACTGGCTATATAAACTTGCTATTTCTTTAAATTATGTAGCAATGTTTCTCAAATTTCATTATGCATCAGGATCGCCTGGAAGGCTTGCTGAAATACAGATGCTGGGCCCCACCTCCTGAGTTTCTGATTCAGTCAACCTGGGTATAGAGCCCGTGAATTTGCATTTCTAACAACTTCCCAGATTGATATAGATGTTTCTGGTCTGGGAGCCATATGTTGAGAACCACAGATGATGTAGAGTTAATTTTTTGACTTGGAAAAATACTCACAAGCTATAGTTAAGTTGAAATGTTTTATATTTCCATTATATTCTGTATGTACATACATGTATGTACAAATACATAAATATTATCCAGGTAGTATCTCTGGATCTATGGACTGGATCACATTGTAGACTCTTACCATCTTCTACAAAACAAGTGACATGATCTTCTGCAGTGAGCATAATCGAATTTCTTAACATAAAAAATAAGATCACAAAGTTTGGGCCAATAGCACTAGCAACGGGAAACAACAAAGTAGGCTTGATTCTACTCACCCTCTGACTTTTGAAACATGCCTTGTTAGGACTGTACACTCAGAAGCAATCACAGAGGGTACAGTGATGGGCCATTGATACATCCTGTTCCTGATGGGGACAAAACCAGAAAAGGCTGACATTACATGGATGCCTTCTACACTTTTTCCTACTTCATTTTAGTAGTGCCAAACAGATCTTCTGGGGGATGTTTGAAGAAAAACTGGGTGGAACCCAAAGGGCGACCTGCCAGAAGTTTGAAGCATCTGGATTGGCTCACTCTGTTTCCTGGCGCAGGGTAGATCCATTTCCCAGGGTATCAGATTAAGGCGTCTCCTTTCTTGAAAAAAGATTTCATGGTTTAAATTCCCGTTCACTTTGTGTCTGTGGCACTCTACTGTCTCCTTTCCAGCATGCAGCCTCAGGGGTCATGATGTCCCTTCCCTGCTGATACCAGCCTGCCAACTGTGGTGTCATGCACACCAAGCACAGAGCCGCCATTCAGAGCCGATTCAGTCTGGGTTCAGGAAGCAAAAGCGCTTCTACGTTCCTACAAACCTTGACAGATCTTCCTCTACCCTTGCATGTGCTGAACTGTTCTCAGGGAAGGGGACAGGGAGCAGGAGGGAGAGGTAACTGGGACAAATGTCAAGGGTGAATGTGTGACAGGAACCAAGTGAGCAAACAGTTGCCACCAATGTTCAGGAAAAGGAAGGGAGGGTTTGTCACCATAGACTTTCCCCAGGAATACATACTTGGTTAGCACTGGCTACTCTTCACCATGTCCTTGTTTAGTGTGCTTGATAAACTAGAAGGTGGCCACATCATTTATCTTCTTTAGAGCAAGAGCTCTTCACAAGTGCCCAATAGAATGCCAGTGTTTGGGATGTCATATTGAAATTCAATCCCACTAGAGTGCACAATAGACTCACTGTTTTTAATTTTTTTAATAATTCAAAATATAAAATCATGTTGTTGTTAAAAGAGATAGTATCTCTACTATTGCATTCAAAATAGGTGACGTATTATTTGTTGGAAAATGTTATTGCATAATATGTTGTTTTCCTCCACTTCACATGTGAATAAATGAGTCAAGATGTTGTTTAAGACAGAAGTTTTCCTGCATTTATTAAGTTCAAAAATAGCTAGAAATGAGAACACTGGTTAATTACTCAGTTATTTATAACAGTTATAAACACTACAGGTATCAACCTACTGTTGCTTTAACATGAATTCCTAAGTGGTCTTCCTGTTTCCATACTTAACCCTTTAAAATCCATTCTCCTTATGGAAGCCTGAGTTGCACTTTAAAAATATAAATCATGGGCCTCCCCTGGTGGCGCAGCGGTTGAGCGCTGGGCTGCGAGGCTGCCCACAGCCTCTGCAGCTCCAGTTCAATCCCCGGCCACCGGCGAGGGTCCCACATGGCATGACAGACCTCTCCTGCCGCGCCCGCTGCTCCCCTCAGCAGTGTATTTCTTCGTCAGTCTGCCTGTTCTGCTCCCCGCTCTGGCTCTGGTGAATTCTCTCACCCTCCATGCTTCTGACTGTACCCAGTGCTTGTATAAATAAATAAATAAATCTTTTTAAAAATAAATAAATAAATAAATATAAAAATATAAATCAGACCAGTCCCTCCTCTGTCTTCAAGCATCCAGTGGCTCCCACTACAGTTAAAATAACAACCACAACCTTTAATGGGCTTCACTCAGAATTGGTCAATCACTGACTGTCTTCCTCTCCAAACACTCTCCTCTTGGGCCCTGGACTCCAGTCACATTGGTCCAGTTGCTCCTTCTTAAATAAGCCAAGCTTCATCCTACTTCAAGACCTTAAACTTGCTTTTCCTTCTGCTCAGAATGCTTTTCCCCCCCAAGATCTTTGCATGGCTGCCTTCATCTCAAGAGTCAGGTCTCTGCTCATTACTCAATCTATACTTTCGCAGCCAAGCAGCACACCTGTTCCTTGGACTAACAGCGCACTGTTCCCCAGGTGTGATCAAAGTCTAAAAACCTGGTTATCTTATCTCTTGCAGGTGACAAAAGGTGTAAATCAAACCAGGCTTATATTGGACAAACACTTTGTGGTTTGCACACAGTCCTATACACAGATGGTATTTTCTTTTTCTTTACAGGTTATTTTCAGAGCTTTGTCACTACCCTATGATGTGGAGAACCCTTACAGTGCCCAGGCGCAGGAGCAGCTGAAGATCACCAATCTCCGTGTGCAGCTGCTAAAACGGCAGTCTTGTCCTTGTCAGAGAAATGACCTGAATGCAAAGCTTCAACATTTTACACACTACGCCATCTATGATTTCATTGTCAAGGGCAGCTGCTTCTGTAATGGCCACGCTGATCAGTGTGTACCTGTCGATGGCTTCAGACCCGTCAAGGCCCCAGGAACTTTCCATGTGGTATGTAAACTAAGTCCTCACCTGTGGAAAAAAAAAAATCAGCTTTGGGCATTGGTAGTCTCTGTTCCCTTAGAGTTGTTCTAGCATCCTGTTTCTTCCTCCTCCGATTCACTCCTCCAGCTCTGTTTCCATCCTATAAAGTGCCTATTAACTTGTTTTTTCAGTCTTCAGTTTTAGAATTATAGTTAAGCATGATAACCAGATTCTTTGGAGAACATTCATGCCAGTTTTCAGTACCACGACCTTTAGATATGAAGTGTCAGGTGAGCAGTAGGAGAGGTTGGCGTGATCATATTAGTGGCATTATCACACAGAAGCGGCTCTGACACTAAATGGGGACCATTGTTGAGCAGAATTTAAAGATGAAAAAAATAAGAACCTCTATTTAATGCCTGGTATCTTTTGCTGCCTTGCCAATAGAATGAATAATAATTCTCTGCTATGAGGTGTATCTGGCTCTCTCTCACCCTGAGGCAGAGTTCAACTCTATTTGCTCCAGGTTCACACAACTCCTTATGCTTTCCCCTGAACTTTTACTTGTCTCCACTTCCCAAGAGATCATGAACTTTCCCAAGGACAGGGATTGTGTGATCTTTGTGCTCTCTGTACCTAGCATACTACCTAAGTGAGAAGTAGGTATTCAGTAGGTGTTTGTTTGAATGATAACAATATTCAGGAATAAGGAGAAGATGAAAAATTGAGTCATTGTTTGTCCTCACCTTGCCTTCTTCCAAAAAAGAAATTCAAAATGGCTCAGACAGCAAGCTCCTCCTTGGGACATATCCAGAGCCACGGAGGGGGATTAGGCCAGGAGAAGGCAAGCAGGAGAGCACTCCAGTTCTTTAATTTTATGCTTTGGACTGCTACTTCTGCTCAAAGCAAAAAATAAATAAAATCTAAAAGACCTCAGTATACTCTGGCGTAGACTTCCACATTTACCTTCTTTCTCCCAGCCCTGTAGGATAGATCCAAAGAACCAGTTAACCAGCTGTATAGTTTGTGTTGGCTGGGCTGAATCTCTGGGGTACAGGGCGGCAGTGGGGTTACTGAAATGACTAGAATAGCAGCCAGACAATAACAAATATAGAAAGAGTTCTACTACTTCTACAAGCGAAGGTGAGGCTCCCAAGTTGAAGAAAGTGCAGCATTCATTCAACAAACACCACTAGTTTTCAGGTACTAATGAATCTTGGAACTAATATTGATCTAAATAAAGACTGGGATAATTTGTCATCTCTAAGTTAACTGGGTTCAGGCATTATTCAAGTAGAAAATAATCCAGGTATTCTAGAGACATAGACACATGTCAGCATACTGGGTCATAAACTCGAAAGTTTGTGTGAGGGAGAATGCTAAACAATCTCTGCCATTATATTTAAGTGAATTGGTGAAAGGAGAAATGGACTGAATGTTTGCATGCATCCTGCCCCCCACCAATTCATATGTTGAAACCCTAATCCCAATGTGTTGGTATATGGAAGCAGAACCTTTTGGGAGAAATTAGGTCATGAGAGTTGAACCAGTCTGAATGGGATTAGTGTTCTTTAAAACAGAACTAGTTAGTTCTCTTTCCACCAACTTGGGATAACAATTAGAAGTCAGCAATCTGCAACCTGGAAGAGGACCCTGACAGAACCCACCAAGCTGGTACCCTAATCTTACACTTCCAACCTCTAAAATCCTAAGCAATGAATTTCTGTTATCTATAAGCCACCCGCCTATGATACTTTGTTGTAGCAGCCTGGACAGACTAAAAGGCTGGTCCTTTGCCCCCTCCTCAACTGTCACTTTCAATCCAAGTCTTATAAGATTACTTCAGGGTAGAGTCTTAGCAAAAGGACACACAGGCCTGGAGGCCCTCACCACAAGGCACAGAGTGGGCATTATTTGTGGAGTGATGACTTTATGAGACAACCTGAATGGCTCCAATCAGCCAAACTAAATGACGAAGACCTCTCAAGAGCCTCATAAAACATTCATGAATATGCATTTTGAAACAGTAGTCTTTTTTTAAGTCCTCTGAATGAAACTTTCAGAGTTAGCAACAGTTTCTTGGACTGAAGAGAAAATTCTAGACATTTCTATAACTTCTACTTAATTCAACAAGGGATAATTACCCAGAGTTACAGCAGACTTTTGTAATAGTCTCACAACACAACAGTTCTATGCTCTTCTTTTTTTTTCTTTTTTTTTGAAGATTTATTTATTTATGCATACAAGAGCTGGGGTTCAGGCCAAAGATGCAGGCAGATGAGAGGATCCACCAGAGACAGAGCAGGGAACAGAACAGGCAGACCGACTGAAATACACTGCTGAGGGGAGCAGCAGACGAGACAGGAGAGGTCTGCTTTGCCATGTGGGTTGCTCCCTGGATGGCTGGGGATCGAACTCTGAAGAACTGCTGCAGAGGCTGGGGATTGCTTCACAGTGCGGTGCTTAACCCCTTGTGCCACAGGGAGGCCCTGTTCTGTGTTCTTCTACTGCTGCAGCTGCAGGAGTGCAGTACAGTCGCTCACTGTCTGGAATTGCCACTGCCTTTCACCCAGACCTTGCAGCCATAGTCTTTGCCAGAGTCATCCTATGGGTCGATGTGGACAGGCCCTTAGATCCCATCCTGGGAGCCATGAAGCCTCCAAGAGAGTCACTAATAGCAAAAGGATGAATTTAGGAGATGGTGCTGGGTAGGATGATCATGGAAGGCCTTTCATGCTTCATAATATCCTGAAGGCAGAGACTTGAATTACTACAAAGAAATTCTCAGTCCATTGAGGAGCTGACTGAATTTTATAAAGTATCTGCAGAACTAGTGTTGGGTGAGAATAATAAAGTATTGAACAATAGCTGGTATGTCACTGAACACACCATTTTTGGAGTCATGGAATCAGAGCCAGTTTTCTGCAAAGATTTCTTCAAGTTAACCTGACATGTCTCCAAAGATTTCTTTAAGTTAACCTGACATGGGAAATCACACACCCATCTTTAGGGATATTTGCATGCAACTACATGGTTATTGATACTACAACCTCAAGACTTGCAGCTTCAAATTCACAGGCACTAGGGAGTACATTTCAAAAATCCTAGAGCAAAGTGTTCTTCCCTTGCACACTTGTACTCACAATCCCATAGAAATGAGCCCTCATCCAAAGTAGTGGGGGAATGGCAACAGTGATGAAAATCATCGTTGCATTCTTGGCCATGGCCTACTAAGGTGTTCCCAGTAGTGCTAGGTAATAAGGAGGCCTGGGCTGTGCACCATTTCATGGAAGAGGGCATTAATGCCTGCCTCTGCCAAACCTTTGCTAAGAACATGGACTTATACAGTGAGCATGTGGGAATTTCCATAGTGGTCTGCAAAGATGCTGAGGAAGCCAAAAAGGATGGAGTCATGGTTGAAAAATCTCAATCTAATCCTGGTATTCCAGCCCTTCTCTTAGTGGAGTCATGATGGCTCTAGCCATATCATTTGTATACAGACCCAGCTTGCCTCCAACCTCAGGAAGGAGGGCTCTTCCCTCATTTGGCAACACATCACCGACCAGATTGGCATGTTTTGTCTCGCAGAGCTAAAGCCTGAACAGGTGGAGCAACTGACCAAGGAGTTCTCCATCAACATGACAAAGGGCGGCCCCCATCCCTGTGGCCGGGGTCACCTTGGACAGCTGGGTTCTGGCTCATGCCATTCATCAAGTCTTTAGCTTCTGCAGTTAAGAGACTCATGAAGGATGAGACAGGGTGGATGGTGAACAGTAGCTCATTTCTTTTAACACAGTGCCTGACACTCAGTGATTAAATGTGTTTCTTGGGAAAAAAAAAACATGTAATGAAATAGGGAAGAGGCATCAGTGACTAGTGGTTGGAACTTTGTGGCTCTAAATCAAGCTCTTTCCTTTGCTCCTTTCATCTCCAGTTTTAATGGAAAAAAAAAAAACCTGTCAATAATGACATTTGCAATATTGTTGAAGCTTTAACTGCAGCTCCTTGTGGTATTGGGGTTCCTCTGTGGATCCAGCATGAGAAACAACACTTATCATTTGCTTTGGTAAAAGATCTAGTTCTAACTTTAATGGCCATTTTCCTGTTTGTCCTCCCAGGACTGAGCAACCTTCTCGGCAGATCATATTATAGAAACCGTGTTTTGTGAAAAGTAAAAGATCTGTTTCCCATTCTATTTAAGAAAAAAAGGAAGAAGGCTCTCCTTTTTAATACAAGCAGACATTTTAATATTTCTATCCTTTATCATTATTGTTCTTTGCCTTATGCATAAAAATCTATATAACTAGCCTAGATTTTCATCCTGTTCTGCTGCTTGATTTACAATCAACCCAAACCTATCAAAATTTTACTTATTTAAAAGATGAAGAAAATAATTTGCTGCTTATTTCATACCATAGTTTATCTCTGCAAAGAATAACAGAGATTAAGCAACTGTATTTTATTCCAGTATTGTCTTCAATGGTTGCTTGTCTCCAACTCTGCCCAGTTGGGCCTCACACTTTCATCCTGTACTTTCTTTCTGACTGTGCAAGCATGGTTGTACAGTTGTTCATCTCATCCTGCACCAGGCAATGCTTGGTAGAACCAAGAAAGAGGATATTCTGGGCTTTGGTTTGAACCTTTATGTACTTCCAATTGGGTGCAGGCTTCACTCTTTGGAAAGATAACCATGTTTTTGCTCTGGTCATGTGGACCTATGGCAGCCTAGTTTTTCTGTTACAATAAAGTTACTGTAAGCTTCCCAGCTTCCTCCCCCAAAAGAAAACTATCAACCTACAAAAAGAATGTGGATAACCCAGTAAAGGGAGCTGCATGTGTTTCCATTCAAAAGGAAATTGGAATAAGACGTGTCTATCCTAAAAGATCCTAGGCAATGGAAACCTCATTTCCTTACTAATTTCAGGCTGCTTTGAAATAGGAAGTACTTCCTTTTAAATTTTTTTAATATTTCTTGCATAATTTTTCATTTTTGCACAATGTATGCATTTTCATCTTGGTTATATTCC